ATATACAGTGGTGTGAAAAAGTGTTGGCCCCCTTCCTGATTTCTTATTTTTTGTTTGTCACACTTTACTGTTTCAGATCATCAAACAAATTTAAATATTATTAAAAGATAACACAAGTGAACACAACATGCAGTTTTTAAATGAAGGTTTTTATTATTAAGGGAAAACTAAATCCAAAACTACATGGCCCTGTGTGAAGAAGTGTTTGCCCCCTAAACCTAATAACTGGTTGGGCCACCCTTAGCAGCAACAACTGCAAGTCCAAATAATAATGTATAAATAAAAAATGTATATAATAATTGAAATGCATTAATTATAACTGTTAATTATATACTTTTCTATTAGTCAAGCAATTTGAGCTGATATACTAGATGCTGAATGACTGTTAAAATAATAATAATAATATAACCTGTATAATATTAATATAAATAATATATTCTATACATATAATAATTTATAAATAAATAAATAACATAATATAAATGAATAAAATTTCAATGTAATTTAAATGTCTCATTTAAATGTAACTGGAATTATACATTTTTATTAGTCAAACAATTTGAGCTGATATATATGTTATGTGCAAAATCATTGTTAAAATAATAATATGTATTGTTGTTGTTGTTGTTGTTGTTGTTATTATTATTAGTTGTAGTATTATCTGAACGTGTACAGCTGAGTGATTAACACAAATGAAATTCAACCAATTTTAAACCTATTCCTGTGCAATTCAATCCCTTATAATGGAAAAAATGTCAAACATGCAGGCAGAGGCAACACTCATTCTACATTTGTGGAATGTGCATTATCTAGTGTTAGATGCTTGCAGTAATTGGGTGTAGAGGTGACCTGCTTTTAGGGAGTCCACGGGGAAAACAGTGAGATCATTGTTTTGGGGTCCACAGCAGTGCAGCTCACTTTCCATGATCATTTCTCCAGTAAGAGCCGACCCTCCGAACATACTCATGCTCATTCACGCAAGCCGAATGAACTTCCGGCTCTCACACACTGACTGTACCTGCTCGAAATTCATGTAAATTCACTTGGTACCAAAGGTCAAACCTGTCAAAGACACAATGCCTTTGTTAAACCTGGGAAAGCCATGTATTATACAAAACGCCAAATAACATTCAATACATTTCCCTTACTTCAAATAGTATGGCAGAAAGAGCTTTGATTTTAATCTTATTTGCAGCAAGCAATCAAGGCAAATTAACCAAAATCCCCATGATTTCACTAACTTCAAGCTGTGCTAATGCAAGTTAAAAACCACATGCCAGATTCTGCTGCCAGTGCAAAGCCAATACTACAGAATAGCAAGTATAGTGGCCAATAGAGGTTAATTAAAGCAACTGACATACAAATATATATGTCCTGAAATTAAAAATTTTAACAGAATATTTCCTCTAAATTCATAAAAGTTTGTATCCAATGACAAGGCTGTTAACTGGGTAATCACAAAATGCAATAATCTCAAAAAAGCCAAAAATAATTCAACCTGATTTTGCCTCAGCAGCGGTTTGTGCATACCGCTTTTGTGTGTGTGTGTGTGTGTGTGCGCGCGTTTTTGTGACAAATGAGGACATAAATTTGTATAATGACAAAGGAATGACATAGGTATTACAAGGAGAAGGTGACTTTTCAAGACATTACCCCATGTCCCCACTTTTCAAAACGCTTATAAATGCATCACAGTCTTGTACCTTTGTCATTTTATCGGATTTTCATATACTTTTTTGCCACAAAACAACATTTGTAATGTTACCTTGTAGTGGGTTTTATTTGGTTAATACATTATAACACTTTAACGAAGATTATTAAATGCAAAAGAAATAATGAATGTCAAAAATACTTCTGGAAACAAATCCACTGAAAAATTGGACGGGCAGCGTTGCACTATTCTATTGGTAAGGCTGTTTATATATGAACTGTTTCCCACTTTTTTCCCCAATATAACATTTTGAATGGTATCATCACCATACACTGTTGCAAGCAGATTCCTCTGAGTTCAGCAGTAGCTTTGAGACACGGTCGTGAAAGGCTCCCCGAGGACTCATCATGTCAGGACCTGAGCGGAGCGTGACTCAGAGAATGTTCTAGACCCTACATCCTCATTGATCCAGCGAGCATGAGGTGCTGAGAAGGTGGCTGGGATTAGTGCCTCGCTACCATTTCATTAGAAATGCGTTATGCATACCTGCGTCTTCAGAGCTTTCACGGCCAATGGATATCAATGATCACAACATCATACCATGCAGATCTAACCAGGCCAATATATGACTCATTCTCTCTACTGAATAACACAGCTAGTGCTTTTTTACATAATTCACTTACAAGAATGGTTTGAAACCGAGTAGTGCTCCAATATCCAGCCCTTTGCCATGTTCACAACAGGTAAATCCAGGGCACAACAACCACTCCACTACGACAGGCTGTCATACAAAGGTGCTCTTTGAGCCCGGATAAGCAGAAAACGGCCAGACAAGGACAAAGACCATTCTCTTTAAAATGTTAATGTAATCATAACACTCACTGAAGTGGAGGCGAAGCAATTGTTTGCACAAAGGTTGTAATAATGTAACTGGGATCCCTTTGTTTGCACAGTACACAACTTGTTTTGCATGCTCAATGCACCCCTACAGTACAGCTCGAGGACGACTTCATCAACAAGAAATGTGTTCTTTAACTCTCACTTGATATAACACTGGAAATAATTTTGTATTATGTTTAATATTTTAAATAAAAAAATCAATAGTGTGGGTGAAAATTGTCTCACTGTATATTCTACTACAATGGCATTCACACAAATTCCTTTAAAAAGGAACTACAAAAGTCATGAGGTAAATCACATAAATCACATGCAGATGATTTTATCCAAAAAATAATTTTACTGCATTCAAGGAACATATTTTGTCAGTCCTTGCATTCCCTGAGAATTGAACCTATGACCTTGGCATTTCTAGTGCCATGCTTAGTAATAATTACTGTTAATAATTATTCATTATAATAATAATAACACTATTATTTTAATTGATTAATTTTCCTGTTTTTACAGGTTTAATAAACCAAAATAAAGACCCCCTAAAACTGCTTAAAAGCATAGTTCACAAAAAAATTATGTCATCAATTATCATAATAATTTACCAACTTTCATGTCGTCTTTCTTTGGCAAAACATAAAAAAGTTATTTGAAAAATGTTCCAAACAACATTAGGATATATAACCAAATATATAACCAATATATCCAAATGTGTGCTCCACAGAAAAAAGACAGTCATACAGGATTAGAACGACACAAGAGAGAGCAAATGATGACTTTCATTTTTGGGTGAACTGCAGTACACATATTATTGGGTGGGAGTTACTGTTATAGACTATAGATAAGATATTCGCTGTTTTCAAATTTTTTTAATTCAATTGTGTGTGTGGGTCCTGTTTTGCATAAATTAAGAAAACCTGAAAATTACTTACATTATGGGAACCAACAAGAGTCCTTACGAAGAAATTACTTGTTAAACACAGACTAAATAGCAAATCTCAAAAATGCATAAAGGTTTGTGTAAGGGTTATGTTTAATAGAATAAACAGAAAAAATCATTCGCTTGGTATAAAAGCAACAGTAGTCAATGGAAATTCCCCACCAGGATATATGTGTGTGTGTGTGTGTGTGTGTGTGTGTGTGTGTGTGTGTGTGTGTGTGTGTGTGTGTGTTGGTGGTGGAAACCAAAAC